ACAGTAAAGCTGACTTTTTAAATGTGAAGAAACTAATTCTAGTAGATGGCTAAAAATAAGTAGAAAAGTCTTAGTACACTCTATTCTGCCAGCTCTGCAAAATAGCATACCATTCTGGCTTGGAGTGTAAAAAAAAAAAAAAAAAACTGGGTTATTCTTAAAGAATGTAAACTTTGGAAAAGTCGAAATTCAGTAAAATTTTGTTCAAAATACTTAAATACGTACTATATTTATCTTTATGTATATCTAGTTTCAAAGTTTAGTTCTACTGCTTATTGTCAGTGTGACAGCAATGAGTTTGGCAAAGCCTTAAGAACATTTTTGCTGATAACTTACTTTTTTCCTCTTTCTCTATCACATTCAGGATATATCGCAAATTTCATTATGTCACAATCCAGGTTAAATTCAGAGTAGATGGTGTAGAATTATTTGATATCCTTTAATGACCAATATTTTGAGCAGCCCATATTCCCTATACTACAGCCCTAGTATCTGAGATTATGGTATTTAGCATCCTGGAAACATCACCATGCCCTGTGGACAAGATCCCTTGACTGGAAAGAATCCCTGCTTCCTACCTCTTGTGACTCAGGTTTTTACTTTTCCATATGCCTCTGTTCCACGAGTTCTTTCTTTACCAATCTCTATTTGAAACCATCTCTACCACCATGGTTGTCCTCTGCTGGTCTGTTGAACTGACTAGCCATCTTGATTTGAGAACCGAACAAATTCTTTTCAACTAGGTTAGAATTTTTTTCCAAATTTAAGTGTAGGGGGTACATGTGCAGATTTGTTACATGGGTAAATTGTGTGTCACAGGTTTGGTGTATGGATTATTTTGTAGCCCAGTTAATGAGCATAGTACCCAATAGGTAATTTCTCAGTCCTTACCCTCCTCCCGCCTTCCACCCTTAAGTAAGCCCTGGTGTCTGTTGTTTCCTTCTTTGTGTCCATGTGTACTCAAGCTTTAGCTTCCACTTATAAGTGAGAACATGTGATATTTGGCTTTCTGTTCCTACATTAATTCACGTAGGATAATGGCCTGCAGCTCCATTCATGTTGCTTCAAAGGACAGGTTCTCATTCATTTTATGGCTGCATAGTATTCCATGGTGTATATGTACCACATTTTCTTTATGTAGTCCACGACTGATTGGCACCTAGGTTGATTCCATGTCTTTGCTATTGTGAATAGTCCTACAATGAACATACATGTACATGTGTTTTTATGGTAGGATGATTTTTATTCCTTTGGGTATATACCCAGTAATGAAAACGCTGGGTCGAATGGTAGTTCTGTTTTAAGTTCTTTGAGAAATCTCCAAACTGCTTTTCACAGTGGCTGAGCTAATTTACATTCCAAGGAGCAGCATAAAAACATTTCCTTTTCTCTACAACCTCACCAGCATCTGTCATTTTTTGACTTTTTAATATTAGCCGTTCTGACTGATGTGAGATGGCATCTCATTGTGGTTTTTGCATTTCTCTAATCATTAGTGATGTTAAGCATTTTCTCTTATGCTTGTTGGATGCATGTGTGTCCCCTTTGAGAAGTATCTGTTCATGTCCTTTGCCCATTTTTTAATGAGGTTGTTTGGTTTTTTGCATCTTAATTTAAGTTCCTCATAGATTCTGGAAATTTAACCTTTGTTCAAGGCATAGTTTGCAAATATTTTCTCCCATTCTGTAAGTTATATGTTTAATCTGTTGATAGTTTCTTTTGCTGTGCAGAAGCTCTTTAGTTTAATTAGGTCCAATTGCAATTTTTGTTTTTTTGCAATTGTTTTTGGAGTTTTTGTCATGAAACCTTTGCCAGTTCCAATGCCCCAAATGGTATTTCCTAGGTTATCTTCCAGGATTTCTATAATTTTAGGTCCTACACTTATGTCTTTAATCAATCTTGAGTTGATTTTTGTATATGGTGAAAGGAAAGAGTCCAGTTTCAATATTCTGCATATGGCAAGCCAATTATCCCAGCACCATGTATTAAATAGGAAGTACTTTCTCATTGCTTGTTACTGTTGAGTTTGTTGAAGATCAGATTCTTAAAAGTGTATGGCTTTATTTCTGGGTTCTTGAACCTGTTTCATTGGTCTATGTGTCTGTTTTTCTACCAGTACCATGATATTTTGGTTACTGTAGCCTTGTAGCATTGTTTGAAGTTGGATGTGATGCCTCCAGCCTTGTCCTTTTTGCTTAGAATTGCTTGGGCTATTTGAGCTCGTTTTGCTTCCACATGAATTTCAGACTAGTTTTTTTTTGTTTTGTTTTGTTTTGTTAACTTTGTGGAAAGTGCCATTGGTAGTTTAATAGGAATAGCATCGAACCTGTAAATTGCTTTGGGCAGTATGGCCATTTTAACAATATTGATTATTCCTATCCATGAGCATGGAATTTTTTTTATTTGTGTCATCTCTGATTACTTTGAGCAGTGTTTTGTAATTTTCATTGTAGAGATCTTTCACCTTCCTGGTTAGCTGTATTCCTAGGTATTTTTCTCTTTTTTTGGTGTGGCTATTACTAATGGTATTGTGTTCTTTATTTAGCTCTCAGCTTAGACATTATCAGTATACAGATATGCTACTGATTTTTGTACACTGATTTTGTATCCTGAAACTTTGCTGAAGTTGCTTATCAGATCTAAGAGCCTTTGGGCAGAGGCTATGGGGATTTTGAGGCATAGAATCATATCATCTGCAAAAAGAGATAGTTTGACTTCCTTCTACTTGGATGCCTTTTATTTCTTTCTCTTGCCTGATTGCTCTGGCTAGGACTTCCAGTACTATGTAAAATAGGAGTGGTGAGAGTGGGCATCCTTGTCTTGTTCTGATTTTCAAGGGAATGCTTCTAGCTTTTGCCTGTTCAGTATGATTTTGGCTGTGGGTTTGCCATAGATAGGCCTTGTTATTTTGATGCCTAGTTTGCAGAAGGTTTTTAATATGATGGGTTGTTGAATTTTATTGAAAGCCTTTTCTGTGTCTATTGAAATGATCATATGGTTTTTGGTTTTAGTTCTGTTTACGTGATGAATCACATTTATGAATTTGCATGTTGAAGCATAGGATGGAATTATTGAGAGGTTCTTTACAAGCAAATAAAGGAAAAATATGGCATCTCTCCTCATATTGATCATCATCTCTATCTCTCCAGTATATGTTGCTTCTTTTTATATTGGCAAATTTGCCCCGATTTCAAAAGTGCGCATGTAATCTAGGGTGGAACAACTCTCTCTGACTGATTCAGGAGGAGACACAGAACTCAAGGTAGACTGCACAAGTGCTTCCTAGAATTTTATATCTAGAGCTTTTGAGAAAGATCATCTCTCATCTCTGGGGATGGAAATATTAGAGTATGAGGCTGCCATTTGGTCATGATCTCCTTCTGGTGGGTACAAAAAGGAAAAAAAATCCATCTGTAGAAATAGAGTAGGAAGCCAAGTAGAAAATGCAGAAAGAAAGAGAGAACTCTGAATGGTTTAAAGCCCAAGGCTAGCTCTTCCACCATCCTTCTGTGAGACAATAGATTTCTCCTTTTACCTTAAGCTTGTTTGAGACAGTTTCTGTTACTTGCAACTGAAGTATTGACCAATAACCATATACTCCTCAAAGATTTCTCTTTGAAATCAAAAAGACTACAAAGCGTCTTTATGTGAGAATAACAAAAATCTGCCTATGTGCTAACTTGAAAATTATATTTACCAGGTTTATAAGTTTTTTGTTTCATTTTAATCTAATTCACTTAGACTTGGATATTTAACCAGACCACTCAGTGTTTAGTTAATGATTGACTTAGGTTGTTTATTTTAGTATGTGTGTGGAGAGAGTCTCAATACATTGCAGCAGATCATTTTATTCATTTATTTTTTTTCAACAAACATTGAAATGTATTCAGTAAGCACTGATTGACAGACCTGCTGTGTCGTGATCAATGTCCTATGCACTACAGTTGCAGATAAGAACAGCACAGTCTCAAAGCTCACTGTAGTAAGGAAAGGACACCTGGGGAGGATTATAGGCACTCTGAGGAAAATAGAGCTAGTATTCTGGAATGGTGGAGAAGTCCAGGAAGACTTTACATAGGTAATAACCTTTGAAACGTGTCTTAAAGAATGAGTGGAAAGTTTCCTGCAGTGCCTTTCCTCACTTGTCAATTTCTTAACTTTCTCATATCTGCCTTTGAACGTAAAGGCACTTACAACATTAAATGATAACCCTAGTGCCAATAATTGGAGTTAAGAAAATGTTGGCTTTCTCACAAGAACAGGTGAGAAAGACTAATGCTGTAAAACAGATTTTATAATACAAAAATTGGCATCAGATAAAACAATATGAAAAGCAAGATGAAGAGAGAAAAGGTCTGTTTTGTATTATTGGGTAGAATTTAAACTTTTTTGTTCCAGAACCACTTTTTAAACATTATTAACAATTCTGAAAGTTTTGCATAGGTCCAGGAACATTGCCAGCATTTCAGGCCATGAAACTATGAATCTCTTTACTATAGATTTTTTAAATCATTTCAGTTCTGAAATTAGCTTTCCACAGACTGTTCGAATTAATGATTAGTAATTCATATTTGATCGAGGAAAGGCAAGTTTTCAGATGATAGTATTGTTTTCAAGTGCTAGCTTTTCCCAAGGAAATAATCATTCACATATTATCAAAACTGAACTAGTAATAAAAATGATCTTTAATTGGGAGTTTTAGAATTTGTATTTTGATTGCTTCTCAGCCTCTCCCTACATGGGGAGGGTTTCTGGTTAAAAACCCAGAAGACCTGCTAGACAATTCTAAAAGAACTGCTGCACTTTGTTTCTTTTAAATTCAGAAAAATATATATACATTCAAGTGAATATTATTACCTTCAATTTCTTTTATTGGATTCCACTTTCTATGGAACTGAATTTAAATAATTTCATTTAAGTATGTGTAATATTCCTTAGGTGTACATCTTTATTAAATGAAGTCTAGATTTGAAAGTAACTGGGTGGGGGGAAGGGTGGGCATGGGCACAGTGGCTCATGCCTATAATCCCAGCACTTTGGGAGGCCAAGGTGACCAGATCATTTTAGCCCAAAAATTCAAGACCCACCTGGACAACCTGGTAAAACCTCATCTCTACTAAAAATGCAAAAATTAGCCTGGCGTGGTGGTGCCCACTGTGGCCCCAGCTCCTCAGGAGGCTAAGGTAAAAGGATTGCTTGATCCCATGAGGTCAAGGCAGCCCCCAGAGATCGGGCTCACAGGGATCATATAAGCTGTCATCACATCACTTCACTACAGCCTAGGCAACAGAGCAAGATCCATCTCAAAAAATAAATACATAAAAATAAAGTGACTTGGGTTTCTGCTAATTATTAACATTGTTCATATATTCATGTTTTTTTCATTGCCAAAGACAGAATAGTTACCATGGCTTGTTGCATGAGTTTCCAGAGAAATTCTGTATGAATAAACTATGTTATGACATCATTTGGATTAAGAATGGGAAGAAGGTCATTAGAATGGAACTGGATACTATTCAGACACACCAAAGAGGCAGAAGATGCATTGCAGAGGGGTGACGAAAAAGCAATACACGTAAGCAAAATAAATAACAGAATAATCACAGCACACATTTGTGCTTACATACAAATGCATAAAGAAAACCTAGGCCCTAGAAATTGTTCTATTTCCATGGACAAAGGTAGCAAAAGAAGTCCTGAGATTATGTCAGTTACTCGTAAAATAGAAACGCTCACTTTCCAATATCACCACCAACTTATTTTGTGATGCAAACCTGTATTTTAGTAAAGCATTCTGCATGGTACTGATTTTGTCTGAATTCATTGTGACTATCTTTTCACGTACTATAAATCACACAGATAACGCCAAAAGAATTTGCATGAGTGTAGCAGATTCTGTTATGCTCATTTCCCACCCAGCCTCATATTATCTCTCTTTTCCACACCAACTACCTATTTTCTGGAACATCCAGTTCACTGTTAAAGGTTTGTGTAAGGTCAGCAGTTCTGCCAACAAGTGGCTAAGGCCAGCATAACCTTGCCCTGTTTCCTCCATCACAGAATTACACGGCATATTTGGCAGACTGCTAAACTAAATAATGCAACATATACATATTTTTCTAATTGTCTACTGTCTGTAGACAAATTGCTGAAATTTTGATTCATTGGGTAACTTCCATCAAGATTAAACTGAAACACTCTCAATAAAGTATTATAGCCAATTGTGGCTTCTAGAAAATCAACCAGTGTTTGACTCTGCTTGACAATTAGCCCATAATTTTTTCTTTTTCAGGGTAAAAATAGCTTCAAATACTTTGACATAGATTATACCTGTTATAGTTTCTAATATAAATGAAAATAATGACTTGGTGTATATGTGATCCTCTACTTTCTACCTCTGTTTACTGTCAAGGTTTGGGTGTTTAAAGGTAGCCACACAAAATTAAGGATTAATTCAAATACTTTTTATAGTGTTAGTAAGTAAGTGTTTGATAGCTTATTGTCAATTAACTTTTAAATATATTCTTGTGTGGATTTAAAAAATAACTATATCCCAAGAATATTTATTCTTAAAAATATATACAAAGTAAATGGTTCAGTAAGAAGATAAGGGGACAACAGAAGGTAAATTGTTAAAGGTTCTGTTTGCTTTGGAGACTGTAAAGATATCTGAGAATTTATAACTTGGGATTTCTTTAGTTTCTACAAGGATGCCTTAAATTATCACAAGATTATTACTTCCACATGTATGGCTACTATTTCTGAAATAATATTTTAAAGGTCTTGAAAGAGGCTCATTTCAGAAAACAGTGATTCTGAGTTAACGAAAGTCTTCAAGGGTTAGAAGGTAGGGAGTTTTTACATCCTTCCAACTCCATTATTGATCAGATATGCAACCTTGAGGAAATTAGTTTATCCTTTCACCTTCTCACTGGTAAAAAAATGACTGCTTTGGAGGTCTTGTAAAAACAGATGTTGGCTTGATAGTGCTAAATAAAAGCAGAATTGTGTTGGCAGTTCATACCATCATGTTCTTTTATGCAGTTTCTTATAATTACTGCTGGTCACATGAGAATAGTTTACATATTGTTTCTGGCAATATTCACTGGCAAAGTCATCCTCTCATTTCTCCAAACCTTATCTTGAAATGTTAGCATATCAATTCTTCAGAAAGGAGATAAATCTTGCCATCATGCCAACCAAAACTAATGTGATCTGTGATAAGCATGGTGATTTCCATACCTCTTTCTTTAAAGGCCACTTTAGTTTATCTTGGTGTCTGATATGTTATGCACACCGGAAATAAAATTCTAATCACTGAACTATCACCTCTTCTCTCCCAAAAGCAGTAATGTCGTTGCTCTTGGCTGCCACAAAGTGGCAGTGTGCCCACTAACTTCCCCACTAGAAAACCCAATGTTGGCCTTCGGAATGAATCAGGACAGAACTACACCTCAAGATTAGGGTTGCCGGACAAAATACAGGAATCCTAGTTAAATTTAAATTTCAGATAAACAACATCATTCTTTTACCAAAAAAAAAAAAAAATGTGTTTGTTGTTTATCTGAAATTCAAATTTAACTGAGTGTCCTATATTTTCATTTGCTAAGTCGGCCAACATTACTCAAGATAGATTTGACTCTTGTAATCATGTAAACTTTTAAGTTGAAATATGCCTATCCTTAATGGCTTATTTACTTGCCTATATTTATTGAATTATAGAACTCTTTAGTTAGGGGAATGTTTCCATATTTCCACCTTCTATCAGACTTCTATTTACCATATAGTACCAGATTCATATGTTTAGTCTTTTATAAAAATGAATGCGCTTGAAGGCATATTTCTAGTACATTTTGAATGCTGTTTCCATCAATGATATTAAACTAACAAGTACTTATTGGTCATCTACTATGTGCAAGGCCTTGTGCCAAAGGGGTCACAAAAGGTTCTACAGAAGGGGCTAGATAGAGTTGACCTGAGTTTTAAAAATCAAACAAACAAACAAAATAGGCAGAATGGAGAACATTCAAGAACATTCTGAAATATTCTAGATGAGTGGTCAGGTATTTTCTACATGAAAATAAATGTCTTATAAAAACCTGAAAAGCTTAGTTCAAAGAACTAGTTAGAATATTGAATGATTAACATCCATTTATTCATTCTAGTATCCAAAACAATCTTGGCACACATCATAGGTACTCAATAATGAATTAATTGAATTATTTTTAAAAATGACACTGGGATAGAGCAATTTAAAATTTTTTAATTTACTTGAAATTTTCTTTCCTATTTTTAATGTAATCTCTTCAAGCTTTATCAAATTTCAACAAAATCCAATCCAGACTTTTACTATACTGACGTAATGTCAGTTTTTGGTGTAATGTTATGTATATTAGTTGTTTACTCCAACATACTGAGTTTAAAACGGAAAGTTTTTTTTTTTACATTGTCTAATATATTCAAATGTCAGTTAAAATGTAAAATTTTTGAAGTTATACAGAGTGTTTGATTAAATTTTGCCCTCCAAATACCACATTCTTCCAGAAATGTTACAATAACATTATGATCTGTAAGCTTTCCCTTCCATATTTCAGAAAGCTGAGATTTCTGAACTCGTACATGACTATACTCACCTATGCTTCTTATTCACAATCACATTGTGTGTAAGGGGTTCTATTTGTTTATATAATTTCATAATTTAAATAAATAATCTATTTCTTATAATAAAGTAAAAGAAGATAGTAAAAGAAAATCTATAATTGCTACCTTTGAAATAGCATATCTGGAATTAAATCTACCCTGAACTGCAGATATTACCTAATACAACTTAACATTAAACAAACACTTTGCATGTTATCCATTTGTGTTAAAACTGGGAACTATGTACAGTAGCTATTTCATCATTTTACTATTTTTTGAAAAATTATGCTATATTTTATTGTTTCAACAACTTTCTGTATTTAAGAGCTTCTTAATTTGAGAAAAGCTGGATCTGGAGGCCATCATCCTTAGCAAAGACATATATGCAGCTAACTATGAAAAAAGCTCAATATCACTGATCATTAGAGAAATGTAAATCATTACCACAATGAGATACCATCACACACCAGTCAGAATGCCTATTATTAAGAAGTAAAAAAAAAAAAAACAAAAACAGATGCTGGTGAGGTTGTAGAGAAAATACTTATATACATTGTTGATGGAAGTGTAAATTAGTTTAACCATTATGGAAAGCAGTATGGGAATTCCTCAAAGAGCTAAAAGCAGAACTAACATTCAACCCAGGAATTCCACCATCAGGTATCTACCCAGAGGAATATAAATTATTCTACCATAAAAGCACATGGATGTGAAGGCTCATTGCAGCACTATTCACAATAACAAAGACATGTAATCAACCTAAATGTCCATCAACAACAGATTGGATAAAGAAAATGTGGTACACGTACACTGTGGACTACTATGCAGCCACAAAAAGGAACAAGATCATGTCCTTTGCAGGGACATGAACGAACTTGGAACCCATTACCTTCAGCAAACTAACACCAGAACAGAAAACCAAATACCCCATGTTCTCACTTGTAAGTGGAAGCTAAATAATGAGAACACATGGACACAAAAAGGGGAGGAACACACACTTTGGCCTACTGGAGGGTGGAAGGTGGGAGGAGGGAGAGGATAAGGAAAAATAACTAATGAGTATTAGACTTAGTATCTGTCTGATGAAGTAATCTGTATAACAATTCCCCCATACATGTTTACCTATGTATTATAACAAACCTGCACATCCTGCAGGTTTATAAGTACCCATGAACTTAAAAATAAAAGTTAAAAAAAAAAAACAGAAAAGCATCATACAGAATTCATTCTTTTATCATCAGAATATCATTATTCATTTTTTTAAATATATGTGGCAGGTACTCCACTGGATGCCATACAAATTTTTTATATGCTACTTCTATAAGTTGTTTACATATATAAAGTTAAAAGAAGTTATAGCTATTAATAGAGTTATAATTATATTATCACCAGAAAGTCTCTAAAAGTTGCTAAATGAGATTAGCTAATTTGGATCAAAGCTCTCTGATGAAAAAAGCCAAACAGGATACATGAGTGGTTACAGAAAGGTCAGAGAGGTGAACTTATATTTTCTGGCAATAAATCTGATTTATAAATATTCCAAGTTGCTGTTGGCAAACTTACATGTTTAATGATAAACAGTATAGAAGATAGGATTAACATTTTTTATGGAAACTGAGCATCCATACTAGTGACTTGAGTAAATGGTATATCCACTTTGGCACGAAGGTGGGCAAGGGAAGACGCCATGGGGACAACGATACCTGCACCTAATTTATGAACTCTGCAGTAGAAGGACAGGGTATTTCAAATGCATGGAAATTGGAGAGAGCTTGAAAAGCAAAGAATATTTAAATCCAAATGAAGCCAGCTGAGGAATGAGGGGAAGGTCTATGGTATGGAGGTGAAGAGCAGGTCAGAGGGAAAAAAGTCTGAGTTTTCTTGATATATAAAAAAAATCCTATAAATCAATGAGAATAAAATCAAGGCCTAATTAAAAATACATAAATAATATGTACAGATAGCACGTTAAAACAAATAGAAATAACTCTTGAACATATGAAAAGGTGATCACCCTCACTCGTATTAGGAGAAATGTAAATTAAAACTACAAGATACTATTTTTCAACATCAAATTGCTGATAGCAGTAAAATAGCTACTAAGACAATCAGTGTCCCTGCACTTGTGGAGCATACATTCTAGTTGAGAGAGAACCAATTAACAAATATACATAAATTATCACGATTATAAGAAGAAGTGACGTGTAGGAAGATAAGGTAAGAAGGGAAAGTGACAGTGGAGCCGTGAATCGCTATCGGATGGTGGAGGCAATTCCAGTGGAGTGGAGTAAGGGAGTGGGGGCAACAATGAGGAGAGAAGACTTGCTTGAGGTGTTTTAAGAAAAAGAAGCTGAAGAAACAGGGCAGTTTCTAGAGGAGATTAAGGGATAAAAAGTGAGTTTTGTTTATTAAGTGAAAGAGAATGGTGCAGAATGTGGATACTATGCTACCATTTGTGTGTTGTGATTTTTAATAGACAGATAATAGAGACAGATAAAAGATAGATGGATAGCCTGTATGTGCAAAAATATTTCTGGAAAGATTCACAAAGTACTGATACCATAATTGCTTCTAGGGAAGAAAATGGCTGGAAGAAAAAGGATAAAAGGTGATTTCTTTTTTTTTTTTTTTTTTTTTTGTAGTCCAGGATGAAGTGCAATGGTGCAATCTCGGCTCCCTGAAACCTCTACCTTCTGGGTTCAAGCGATTCTCCTGCCTCAGCCTCCTGAGTAACTGGGATTACAGGCACCCACCACCACACCTGGCTAAGTTTTGTACTTTTAGCAGAGATGGGGTTTTACCATGTTGTCCAGGCTGGTCTTGAACTCCTGACCTCAGGTGATCCACCAACCTCAGCCTCCCAAAGTGCTGGGATTACAAGTGTGAGCCACTGCACCTGGCCAAAAGGTGATTTCTTTTTGTGCTTTTCAAATTTGCATCATACACAAGAATCATCCATGCAGAATTAAACAAATCCTTCATTATTCAAAACACTATGTAAATTATACTCAACTGTGAACATGATTTAATTTTTCTCTATTCAAGTTGGCATATCCTCATGAGTGTAAAAAGCTGAAAATCATGTGTATATTTTCTCAGTTATTTTAATTACATTAAGAAAACTATAATCAAAAAATATTTTATTAATCTTAGAGTTATATGTAAACACTATTAGCTAATACATATCTTTCTTATTGTAATCTACTAGCATGAGTTAAGACATATCTTCTCAATTGTTGTGGGTTGAACTGTGTTCCCCCCAAAATTATGTTCAAGTCCTAACTTGATATGTTTTAGGTATGTCCAGTATGTGTGAATATTACTTTATTTGGAAATAGGGTCATTACAGATGTAATTAAATTAAAATTCAGGCATACTGAATTAGGGTGGACTGAAATCTAATGACTAACGTCTTCATAAGAAGAGGAAAAATTGGACTCAGATTCACAGAGAGAATCCATACAACAATGGAAGCAGAGACTGGAGTCATGCCTCTGCCACCAAGAACTGCTAACAACTGCTAGAAGACAGAAGAGGCAAGGAAAGACTTTTCCCAGGGGGCTTTAGGAGGAGCATGGCACTTCCAAGACCTTGACTTTGGAGCCACTAGACTCCAGAACTGTGAGAGAATAAATTTCGATCACTTTAAACCTCCCAGTTTTCCCTATTTGCTGCAACAGCCTTAGAAAACTAATATAGCAATAGTGATATTTAATGAATGAAATAGGAAAATGTTTCTTGGAAAAGTAACGAGATTTCAGGAATATGGGATTATATGTTTTTATAGGAAACAGATTAGAGCAGTAAAGGTATTTTTTTTTAAGAGAACAAGATAAGTTAGGCCAAATCAGACCAAACTTTGACTAGGATAAACAAAGAGATACTTGATATAGGTCTAGTCTCTACATAAAAGTGAAGTGGATATACATGTGAATAATTAATTTACCACATGACAAAGACACTTAAAGGAGGGAAAAGAAAGAAAAACTGTTCCATAGACACATGCCTTTTTGAGTAAGACTGATGATTCTAAGAGTTTGTCTACCAAGCAGTCTGGCTTAAAGAAAGCACTAATGGATTGTTTCATGTAGAGGTGTATTCATGTTAGAAAAGGTGTTGTAAGCATAATACTGAATATGTTGGAATCTTTGAAAAACCTATGCAACTGTGATTGCTCAGTGTTTAATGCAGGGCAATGAGTAATTGCTGTCTTGTTTATTTTTAGACAAAAGATCTGCAGCTATGGAATTCTTCTTCATGACATTTTCACAGAACATACTATTTGTGATTTACATCATGTCCTTATTCAAGGTAATTTTATTTCTTTAGAATACCATAAAATCTATTTAAGTCATATCCTGTCTCCCAGTGAAATGAAAGACATCTCAGAAGGGATTTCATTGTATCCTTCTGAGTGTGTGTGTTTTGTATTTTTGCATTTTCCCGGGAAGAGATGGAGACAGTGACTCAATTGATGTATTATGCTTATCCTCTCATTGCTCCATTCTTGGTTTGGTTGATCATTTGAAATAAATGGAGATTGTTTGCTCAACTCTCTCAGGCTGGTGCTTATTAAATAGCAGCCCTTGTCTGCCCTATGTTGTTTTTGTAGTTCAGTTATAAATAAACAGGACTCCAAATCTCACCAAAGTAACCCTTTGGAAACTAATTTCTCTTTCTTCTCTCTTTTATTTCTGCTATCATTAAGGGAGGAGAGAGAGAGAGAGAATATTTTGACACTCATAAAATAATGACAGTTCATGCAGTCTTAACATATGCATGTGTACTCTCAAATATTTATTTAAAGATGAAGAACTGTCAGCTCATCAGAAACACTGGACTGGGACCAATGAATTACATGACTCCTTGACTGAATTGTTAAGCATACTTGACTAAGATACTCAGAACATCTTGGTATTAACACTCTTAATTTTTTACTTTTTAGGTTTTCATAGATTCACATACAGTTGTAAAAAAAATACAGAGAGATCATCTGTACCCTTTACCTAGTTTTTTTCAATGGTAATATTGTTCAATGCTGTAGTATATCACAACTAGTATATTGGCATTGATACAATCAACCATCTTATTCACATTTCTCCAGTTTTACTAGTAATCATTTGTACATATATGTCTAAGTAGTTGTATACCATTTTAGCACATGTGTAGGCTCATGTATCTGCCATTACAATCAAGATGCTCAAGGATCCCTCATGTGGCTCTTTAATAAACAAACCCACCTCTCTCCTGTTCCACTTCTAGCTACTGCCTGACCCCTGTATCCTAATCTCTCAACCACAAATCCATTCTCCATTTGGACAATTTTGTCATTTCAAAATGCTATATTGATGGAATATAGATCCTGTGAAATTTATGCTTCAAGGATGCTCTATTCTGGTGTATTTCAAGATTTTGTTTCAAGATTGAGAAATCCTTTTTGCATTTTTTGTGGTGTTGGCTTGGTAGTGGTGAATTCTCTCAGCATTTATTTGTCTGAAAAAGATTTTATCTCTCCTTTCTTTATGAAGCTTAGTTTTACTGGATACAAAATTCTTGGCTGATAATTATTTTGTTTAAGGAGGCTGTATTAGTTCATTTTCATGCTGCTGATAAAGACAAATCCAAGGCTGAGATGAAAAAAGGTTTTATTGGACTTACAATTCCACATGGCTGGGGATGCCTCAGAATCATGGCAGGAGGCAAAAGGCACTTCTTACATGGTGATGGCAAGAGAAAACAAGGAAGAAGTGAAAGCAAAAACCCCTGATAAATCCATCAGATCTCATGAGACTTATTCACTGTCATGAGAATAGTATGGAAAAGACTAGCCCCCATAATTCAATTACCTTTCCCTGGGTCCCTCCCACAACGTGTGGGAATTCTGGGAGATACAATTGAAATTGAGATTTGATGAGGATGAAGCCAAACCATATTAGAGGGTGAATATAGGACCCCGAGCCCTTCTAGCTTGTAGGGTTTCTGCCCAGAAACCTGTTTATCTGATAGGTTTTCCTTTATAGGTTACCTGATGCTTTTGCTTCACAGCTCTTAAGATTCTTTTCTTTGTCTTGACTTTAGATAACCTGACGACTATGTGCCTAGGTGATAAACTTCTTGTAGTGAATTTTCCGGGTATTCCTTGACCTTCTTGTATTTGGATATCTAGATCTCTAGCAAGGCCAGGGAAGGTTTCCTCTATTATTCTCTCAAATAAGTTTTCCAAACTTTAAAATTTCTCTTCTTCCTCAGGAACACAAATTATTCTTATGCTTGCTTTTTTAACATGATCCCAAATTTCTTGGAGGCTTTTTTCATTTTTTAAAATTCTTTTTTTCTTTGTCTTTGTTGGATCGGGTTAATTCAAAAGCTTTGTCTTCGGGCTGTGGAGTTTTTTTTTTTCTTACTTGTTCTAGTCTATCGAAATTTTCAAATGTATTTGGTATTTCTCTAAGTGTGTCTTTCATTTCCAGAACTTGTGATTCTTTTTTCTTTATGACATCTATTTCTGTGGAGACTTTTTCATTCATATACTGTATTTTTTTTTTAATTTCTTTAAGTTGATGTTCACCTTTCTCTTGTACCTTCTTGAATAGCTTATTAACAATTATCAACTTTCTGAATTCTTTATCTGGCAATTCAGAGATTTCTTCATGGTTTGTATCTATTGCTGGAGAGCTAGTGTGATCTTTTGGGGGTGTTATGGAAGCTTGCTTTGCCATATTACCAGAATTACTTTTCTGGTTCGTTCATATTTGGGTAGACCATTTCAGTGGAGAGATCTGGGACTCAAAGGCTGCTGTTCAGATTGTTTTGTGCCTCAGGGTAATTCCTTCATGTGGTGCTCTCCCCTGTCCCCTAAGGATGGGGCTTCCTGAAAGCAGGAACTCAAAGACTATTACTGCCCTTCTGAGTCTAGCTAACTAGTGGGACTATCAGGCTCTGGGCTGGTGCTGGGAAATGTCTGCAAAGAGTCCTGTGATCTATTTTCATGTCTCCCAGCTGTGGATACCAGCAGTGGTGGTGGCAGGGGAGTGAAGTGGACTCTGTGAGAGTCCTTGGTTGTAGTTTTGTTTAGAGTGTTGCTTTTCTTGAATGCTGGTTATGCTAGCAGTTAAGTTGTCATGTGGACATACTCAGGACCTCTGGTTAGCCAGGCTGTTGCAGAAAGCAGAAACAGCTGTTGTTTTCTCCTTCTTTGGAGCAGAGTTGTTCTGTTATGAGTTGCTGTAATGGCTTGAGTTGGTTGGCCTCCAGCCAGGAGGTGGTGCTTTCAAGAGAGCAACAGCGGTAGTGGTAGAAGGGGGAATATAAGCTTGCCCTAAGTTGGCCAGGATAAGTATTCAAGTTTCTCAGCTCTATGGGTCAGGCCAGAGAGCCTCCAAGACATTATGCCTTTTGTCTTCAGCTACCAGGGTGGGTAGAGAAAAACCATCAGGTGGGGACATGGTTAGGTGGGTTTGAGCTCAGACTCTCCTTAGTGGGTCTTACAGAGGCCACTGTGGGAGACAGCAGGGTTGTTCTCAGGTTGTTCTCAGGAGCTATATGTTCTAAAGAGGATTATGGCTGCCTGTGCTGTGTCATACAGGTGGCCAGGGAAGTGGGGAAAAGCCAGCAGTGACAGGTCTCACCCAGCTCCCATGCAGCTAGCAAGGCCAGTCTCATGCCTTCCATGCCCCACCAACAGCACTGAGTTTATATCCAGGCAGCTGGCATGGCAGGCAGAGCTGAGATCTTGCCCCAGGCTTGAAGCTTCCCTTTTGAGAAAGTAAGCAGGGCTTTCAGGCAACTTCTGCCTTTGTATCTGCACTTCCTATTTGCCCCTTGCCTCTCCAAAATTTGCTCAGTAAAATTCATAATCTTTTTCTCCTGTAGAAATTTGCATGGCTCACTCTATCTCTATCTTCAGGCACCAACTCAAATGTCATCTATCATGAAGTCTTTCCTGATTATTATATAGAACATAATCACATGCTCACATACAGCATTCTCTATCCTCCTATCCTGCTGTAATTTTATCCATAGCATATAACATCAGATGTGTTCTGTATATATTTGTGTATTTATTACCTAAACCTCCTAGTAACACAGAAGCACTAAGAAACCAGCAACTTGACTTGTTTCATTTATTTTCTACCCCTTTGGTGCCCAGAAAACTGCCTGGAATACAGAGGTGCACAAAAAGTATCTGTTAAATGAACAGTTAATGAATGTCTAAAGAAATAAATGACCAGACAGGTACATGAATAATGTATTTGAAAGAAAAAAAAATCATAGACTATACAACAGGTTCTACCCTGTCACTAAACAATGAATGACAAAACTTCCTGCCGATCATTTGGTCTCTCACTCCCACTCTGGGTCCTTTACTTTGTTTCAGTCATTATTGTTCTTCTATATAGGTACTGTTGGAAATATGTATTCCTTTTCAGAACTCTTGTTACTTGTCACAAAGTGTCTTAAAAGATTAACTTGCTGAAAATAAAGGTTTTGAAAATTTATTGAAAACAATGTATTTCCTCCACCAATTTTCTTTCAATACTCATAGTTCATTTCTATCTGCCTGTTCATTTTCTTAACAGATAATGCATTTATTCATTTATTTGAGAAACATTATTGATAATCTATTATGTGTCAGTCAATGTTCAGTGAATTTACTTCTCTTTAAGTTTAATGCTTTGTACCTTTTTCCCTGGCAAACATGTTCTCCATATGGGATCGATGTTTCCCTGAAATGTTAGTACTTTCTAAATACTCTATTGATGGAAGGCACTTTCAGCACAGGAAAAAAATCACTTTCAGCCCAGAGAATATGATGAAAATAGATGCCCCACTTTTTAGAAACATTAACAGCCTGACATTTCCTGTGTACACCATTAAGTAAACTCCTACAAACATCAAGTGATATACGTTACTGTTTCTTCGTAGTCAAGAAGACATAAGTTATATCATTAATTTGTTTAATAACAAATAGAAAATTATTAAATAAGCCAAATATTAGGAATTATTGGTTTAGAAATAATAAGAATTAAGAACTGGAGAAAACATCATTTATGTGGAAGTAAATGTAGAAAAAATACAAAAATAAAAACCAGGAGTTTTCTCTTGCTCTTGATCATCTTTCAGATGCTTTTTAGATCACCTGAGTTCCGTTTTCCTAGAGAGATAGCCCTTAGGTTACTAAGCTACCACTGGTTTCCTGATGCTGTAAAACTTAACTGTGCCTACCAGGCAACTTCTGAAGATAAAGAGAAATTGTCCCTTGGGGGATTAAACACGGACTATATTAAGTTATAACAGAGATTCAATTCTACCAATTGGTTGGTTGGTTGTTAACTAATATATTACAATTAATTTAACTTTATATGATCAAGATGTTGTATTACAAGCCTCTCTGTTAGCCTCCTGCAGCAATAAAACCTTTTCCTTCTGTTGTCCATATGCTTGAGTTCAGGCTTAAGTCTGTGGGTGCCATACATTACGGGGTGCCAGAGTGTTTCTTTATATTCTGAGCTCATGAGGCAAGTTATGGGTGCTTATTCTGCCCTATCTAATTCTGGGCAAATTTTGCTTCCTACTCAAAGTATAAATGGATTGCATAATTTATTGCATTGTTTATAAGCAGGAACATGAGAATACACCCTACATTTCATGCAAAATAATACAAGACTTCAAAAGAAAATTAGTTCTCTCAGAAAGAGTGATGAGAAAAGAATATTATTATTTTTGCTTGAATGATCAGAGCAGATTCTTTAGCGGCATTTGCACAGCATCCTCACAGGTAGGGTGATCCAGCCTTGCAAGAACACCTCCTGGTCCTAAACAACCTTCCGACCACACGACAATCCTTTCTATTTTTAAATAGCTCTACCATCTAACTAATTTACTTCCCCTGTAATTCAGTGTGAAAACATAAGTATCAAACAATATCTTTCAAATACAAATAGCCAGATTTTTCTGTGTCATTTAAGAATAAAGGGTCACTTCTTTACTAACAATTTCTGATGCTTCCCTCATTATAACATTACATACCGTATTTTTGTTAGAAATAATATTAGCTCTTAATTATCTAGAATACGTGTTGGTGTAGAATGTATAGCTATTTTTCTTCTATTGTGCATCTTGCTTACACTCTATTGCCACTATTCTCATATCTTAAACTCTTAGGAATA